CGATTTGCTACCACACTGAGTGGTTTTACTTAGGTGTCCGTTGCTTAAGCGATCTAAAGTCAGGGGCGCCCTCAACAAAGCCGGCACACCCATGTCTACACATTCCCATGCACATGTACATATGTGTTGCATAGTTTTAGACATGTACACAATATTATATTTCTATATATATATATATGCTCACCCCCCCCCCCCCCCAGGGCCTACCTTTTCACTTGTACAGTCTAGAAAAACTGATAATTTCAAAAGTGGGGGTGATATATATATATATATATATATACACGCATTTTCAAGAAGAGAGAAAGAGAGAGAGAGGGAGAGAGTCGTACATACATGATCTCCATCTCCCCTTGGGCCAACGCCAACCTCCCGGACTGCACTTGGGGCATCGAAGCCTCGACGTGGCGAACGCTTCAGGACCTCAGGTGTGTGGAAGTCATGGGCCTCGGTGCCCCGGCGAGGGGCCCCAGGGACCCAGACGCGGGTGTGGGGGGTGAAGCATATGAGTGGATCCATGTATCTGACTAGAAAATGCATAAGGGGCAACGAACATGTACTAGGTAGTGCCCTTTCTCACCCCTTTTTTGGTTGGGAGGGTTCCCCTACTAAAATAGACTACAGAAAAAGGGTACCCGTATTCGAACCTCTCTACTGGAGGACCTAGGAGTGGTTCCATGTGCCTGACTAGAAGATATAAGGGGCAACGAACATGTAGCATGTACCAGGGTTTTCCCACCATCATTATTTTCCCATGTTGTTTCTCCCCATTGCAATATAAGGGGCTTAATCATGTCTAGCATGGTTTTCAAATGTGGTCACTTTACTTGGATTTGGGCTGCCCCAACCCCCCTCAAGCATTTGGCCCAATAGGTTACCAAGGGAACCTGCTCGAACAGCGGTCAACCAGCTCACCGGATTTCTGTTGAGGGTGTGGTTCCCCACGTAGCCCGAATTGTTTTCGGGTCTCAAGCAAGCCTTCCATTTCCCGAATACTATTGTTTAATTTGTTCGGTTGGTTTTAAAGGGAATCTACCACCACTGGAAGTACTGTTTTTCAGGGGACCTAAGCAATTGGAAGAAGCCTAATTGTCTTGGGGACCAAAATTCCGTCGGAATCTTGTGGTGTGCAACTGCAAAAATCCGAGCTCGCCAAATACGCTGGGACGCCCCGCGATGAAAATTAAATAGAGGACCGGAGGCTAATTTATTGATCCTGGGGTTGCATAAAGGGAAGTCATGTTTTTAAGGGACATCTTGGGAGCCCGCAAAAGGTCCCAATTTGCCAGATGTTCCAGATTGGCCGGATGATAGTTATAGCACGCCCTTTGAATCAATATACAGTCTATGTTTGGAATATGGTAGAAGAGTGGAAGAGCTCCAAATTGGGTCGCGGGTTCGCTTCGGTCCTAGTTGCTGGCTCGCTTCGGTCCTAGTTTTCATCTCGCTTCGGTCCTAGTTTCCTTACTCGCTTCGGTCCTAGTTTCCTCGCCGTTGACTATGGGTTGATACTATGGGCTTGTCCTTTTTTGAGGGACACTTTTTGGCGTGGGGTTGAAAAGGGAACAAAAAAACCGACCGTAGACACCACCTTTCTCACGGGCTTCCTCTCAAAAAACAAGCCCATAGTGCTGCAAAGAAAACGAACTCTATAGGAGCAAGGCAGATCTGCAGCACTGAGCGCTCACAGTGTTTAGTTGCACCTGCTTCACATGTGCTTTTCGATATGTTCATGCTTGTTGTTAGGTGTTTGAGAGGCAACATCCTTGTCGACCCCACCCCGCCCGGCATGTCTTGTTGTTAGGTGTTTGAGAGGCAACATCCTTGTCGACCCCACCCCGCCCGGCATGTCTTGTTGTTAGGTGTTTGAGAGGCAACATCCTTGTCGACCCCACCCCGCCCGGCATGTCTTGTTGTTAGGTGTTTGAGAGGCAACATCCTTGTCGACCCCACCCCGCCCGGCATGTCTTGTTGTTAGGTGTTTGAGAGGCAACATCCTTGTCGACCCCACCCCGCCCGGCATGTCTTGTTGTTAGGTGTTTGAGAGGCAACATCCTTGTCGACCCCACCCCACCCGGCATGTCTTGTTGTTAGGTGTTTGAGAGGCAACATCCTTGTCGACCCCACCCCACGCGGCATGTCTTGTTGTTAGGTGTTTGAGAGGCAACATCCTTGTCGACCCCACCCCACGCGGCATGTCTTGTTGTTAGGTGTTTGAGAGGCAACACCCTTTGTGTGTGTCCTGTTGTTAGTGCTCAAAAAGCTATCTTCCACTGCGCCTGAAGTGATCCAAAAATTGCGACAGAAGTGATCCGCAAATGCTCAAACTACGACCAAAGTGAGTGGATTTCAGCTGCGACCAAAGTGATCCAAAAACTGCGACCAAAGTGAACCCCCCGCCCATCGCTCCAAATTGCCAGGAAAACACGAGAGGCGGAACCCATGTGTTTCCCATGTTCACTGCAGAAAACAGCATATTCTGACCTTGGCTTACATGGGTGTTTTTCACTCGGATGCCCATTCAGTAGGGTGATTTCGAGAAATCGAAACCAGGAATTCGCCAAATCCCGCCACCAGGGCTTTGCCCGACTTCCGGTAGACGTTCCCTTCGCTGGTTTCTTAGCTGATTTGCTTTTGATTTCCCTTTCCAACCAGAAAGGGTTTCTCCATTTGGCTGTGGGTCAAAAATAGGTACCCAAAATGTAACCCTGTGGCAGCATGGACCAAAACCTGCGGTCCCCTGGTGGCTGAATTTTGAACCACACCCATTTGCCTCACGCGAATTTGTCATCTGAGCAAATTCAATTGGGCGAGTCCAGCGATCCAGGGGAACACGAATGCATCCGCGAAGGTGCCTTGCGCCTCTGAATTCTGCTTGAAGAGGTTCCCGCTTTGGGCAGCCTCTAAAGGCAATCAAGAATAGATGGACCCTTTGGTTTGCTTCGGTGTTGGTTCCCTTGGTTTCCCTTGGTTTCCCTTGGTTTAGGCTTCTTTGCAACCCAAAAAATACCAGTTCTTCTTGTGGTGTCCTTTGCAGCCAACCCGAAAGGGTACCCTCCAAAAGACACAGATCACAAAAAAGGTTTCAGGAATGGACGCCTGGAAAAAGCGACCGGGTCTCCTTTTGCGAACCCTGGGACACCTCCGTTCTTTCCAGCGCAAAACACGGGATACCAGCCTGTAGCCGTATACAAAAAACGGGGCTTTCTTCCGGCCCAGTAGGAAACCGAATTCCGAAGGGGGTCACTGAGTTGAAACACTTAGAGCCTAATAGAGTTCTAACAGGTTTCGGCTTGGACCAAGGGAGAGTCATGTTTATAGGATTATTGTCACAACCCATTCAACGGGTCAACTGTCCAAGTTACCAGCAGGAGCTTCTATAGTTGCAACCTTTTTTTGGTCGCCCAATCTGCAGACACAAATCTGAAAAAGTATTGCAAGTAGGGGAACAAGGAAACCCATAATTTACCAAACCGTCCCATGGTTTTGTGGTTGAGCGTGGTTGGTTTGCTTGCAATACTGTGGATGGTTGCGAAATCCGTTTTGCGCCACATGGAAAACCATCGCTTGAACCCATTGTTTGTGGGTATTTACAGGGGAACTTTTCAGAATCCGAAGGGGTTTCATCGGCGGTACGAACTGGATGTCGTCCATTCCGCGAGAACCGGTCCGACGTGAGCGATAGGAGGCCCCGCAGAACGTCCTGGGCCCACGTCGCGGCGGCCTTCCAGCCTAGGCGATTTCCGAAAGCCAGGTGAGTGACAATGTTAACCCCGGATTAATAAACCCCAGGTTGATTAATAGGGGGGTGTCCCCTTTTAGTGGGGATTCATCACTTTTGGAGGGAACACGCCCCTAATAATGGGAGGGGTGTATTAATCCGGGGTCAACATTACAAACATTGCTTGGTGGTTCCCAGTGTGGGTTTTCAGTTGGTTGAGTGGTTAGGTGTCCGAATTTGACCCACTAAAAGTTAGATCTAAGGACGGCCCAGTTTGGGTGTGTTTTTTCTTCTTCTTGTATTTGTACCTCTTTGTTGGTGGTTTTAAAGCGCAACCAAGAGGAAAACCAAAGCGATTCGGCGGGTGTCCTGAGAGCAAAAACACACGCAATACAAAAATGGAAGTATGTGAGTGATCATTGCTGTTGTGCGAGTTGTGTATGTATTTGCTTAGTTGCGTGTTTATGTTGGAAGTTTCTTTGGAGTCTTTATACGTGACCTTTTGCATGCCCGTGTTCAAACCGATAAGCATGATAAGTCGGGATGTGATTGCCTGTAACCTACCGCGCCTCGAACATTGCACCAGATTGTTCGGTCAACGTTTCCAGTCGCATCGGTGATCTATTTCCAACACAGTCTTCGTGTTTGGCTTATTGGCACCGGTCCTCTATTGCGAACACTGTCTTTGTGTTTGGCTTATTGCACTGATCTTGTAGACCCAGGTCCAGTGTAACTACCAATCCTGAACGAACAGAACGGCCAGTCCATGACTTACAGTTGGGGTGTATGGCTTTTTGTAGCCACGATGAGGGGACGTAGCAATGATTGTCCCATGTCTCATACCCAGCACTCTCCCAGGGCCACATTTCTCATGTTCAACACAAGCAAGTGCTGTCAAAAGCACAGCCTGAAGGTGCTGGCCAGCCTACAGGCAAGGGTTTCCTAACGCTAACCCATTGCCTGACAGGCCCAATATGGGCAATGATGACCGCGTGCGGAGACTTGTGTTTTCCTGATGGAAGCTTTGCGGCTATTGGGGTCCTCAACGCATACGCGACAAACTGACTGCCGTTCAAACAGCCAAAGGCCACGGAGTGAATTATATTAGGGTGAACCTCTGAGACCGCTCGCCCATGTCTGCAGAAGGCGCAGAAGCCGGAGAGAGGTCGCAGGTGACGTCTGCCTCCTTGCCAAGCGCAAGGGTCATGCGCTGCTGGACGCTTTGCTGCTGGTCTCCTTGGCCATCACCGCCTGCACACTGACCGACGGCCCAAAGGCGGCAATGGCGGCTGTGGTGGGCCACCTGCGGCTGCAGGACTTCCCCGACCACTACCAACCGGTCTATGACTTCATCCGCCACCCGATGCCGCCCGCCATTGCTGTCTCGGTGTACATTGTGGGCGTGTACTTCCTCGTCAAGACGTACTTCCTCGAGCGCGAAGTCGTCGGCCGCGCCCACAAGAAATTCCAGGCACACGGCAACAAGCTCCCGGTCGCCATCCACGGCGTGGGCTCGGTGGTGGAGATGGCGGTCGGCTGCGCTGCCGTGTGCAATCCGGACAGCGAGCTACTGGCCAAAGCCGCCGCGTACCTCGCGCTCTTCGTGAACGTGCCGTCCGGCGCAGTCCTCACCAGCCGCGTCTTCGGCATCAAGCACCTCACCGTGGCGGGCTTCGCCAAGTTCGGCGTGCTGCGCACGATGGAGGCGTACCGTGTGCTCTACGTGGACTACCGCCTCGTGCCGAACCTCTGGATTTTGCTGCAGGTCGGCACGGTGGTCCGCTTGCTCGGCTGGTTCGTGTTGCCGTACTCCTCCTCCGATGGCACGCGTGGCGACCTCTTCACCGAGCCTGCGATCTACTCCTTCAACATCCTGCTTTCTGGCTACCTCGTCGCGGCGTTTGTGTACCCGCCGGAGTTGCTTTTGATCTCACTCTCTCTCTACGCCACCACCCAGCTCTTCTGGCCTCCTCGCATGAGCGTCAGGCTGCGCCCGAAGGCTGCCTAATTTTATGATTCGATTCGCTTGGTGGACCTCTTCAAATGCGCGGCGGGCAGGAAACGTAGCAATGTGGGCGTGCTCATGCACCCAGTTAAGGGGGGCCTGTTGCTTTCTGCAAAGGCGGGCGGGGGTCACAAGGCCTATTCGCCAGTTCCTATCGGCGAAATTGCCGCTCGCCAGGTGTCAAGACAGTTTTTCCCGAGAATACGAAGTATATTGTGCTCGGCGCTCAGTTGGAATCGATCTCGCCGTTTTTAGGGCAAATTACAACGACGTCACGTTTCAGGAGATGCAACGTCTTCCACAAAGTTTCCTTTAATGAGAATCCGTGTCTTGTGTTCGGTTGGTGAATAATAATTGCCCAGATGTACAGTTAATTGTTCCGTTTAGAGCCTTTCAGGATCCTTAAGGGGTTCTTGGGGTCCGCTGTCCTTCTGGATGGTAGTCTAGGTAGCAGTGCTCTTGCAAGGTCGCCTAAACGGTGAGCCTGTTGATTTGCAGGCTTGTTGAACCGTTATGTTACAGGGGCCCTTGCATGTCGTGGTGTGCTTAACATTGCCGGTTGGTCCAATCTTGATGCAGCTACGTTCGCCTTTTCAAGGGAGATATTTCAAGCGGGCATATTGTGTGTGTGTGTGTGCGTGTGCGTGCGTGCGTGCGTGCGACGCGCGGTGTGTTTTGGGGGAGTGCAGTGATGTTTGCTCACGAGTTGCACTGTTTGTTGAACGAGTGTGATACAAGCTACGAGTCGTGCTAAAACAAAAGGCAATAGTTCCTTGGTTCCTTCAACAACGAGGCAATGAGTTTTGTGTTATACTTGTTTATGCCGCTCAATAGTAGGTCGCTCTCCATAGGACATGTCAATTGCTCTTTGAGAGTCCCACACCGAGGCGTCTGACATGGCCAATGGCTCCAAAATAAGTTGCTTCCCTGGCCAATGGTTTATTTCCTTTAGTTTGCAAACCGCCCTTCTTTCCACCTTAAAGGTTCGAGTCTTCCAACCACCAAAGGGACATTGGAACTGTCAATAGACATCAAGGACAGGAACTCCCGCTTGTTTTTAACAACTGCATTACAACAAGGCATTCAACCACAGCCCATAGCGATACAGAAAGAGAGGGCAAATTCGCCAACTTTGCAGGGGGGGTACATGGGGGTACCCTGTTTCCAACAAGGATGATCAAGGATGTGACAGTTGGCCTTTTTTTCTTTCAGAATCCTCCCGTCAGCTTCCATGCTTCGGAAAGAGTATAACCTTTGCCAATTCGGGTAACTTTCCGTCGATCCCTTGCTGAAGCTAAGCACTTTGAGGGAACAAGGGATCCATTGCCCAAGTCTTCGGACATGTCCAATGTGTGGGTGGGGGTGCTTGTTAAGATGGGATCCACCGGATGTGTCATAGGCCTCACGGTTTGGACCCCCAAAGTCCAACCCGCTTTCGGGGCTTGGAACAAGCCGCAAGACGGCAAAGCGACTGGACGATTCGCCGCATTCCGCGTAATCAGAACCAAGCAGCAGGTTTGTGGGAGGAGCGAATCCGGTGGCCAGTACCATGAAGGCTTGCGGCTTGAGCCTTATGCCAAAACCAGGGTGGACAGTTGGCCAAGGGGATCGGTCCTTTGGTTTCCTTGGGAGCCATGTTGTTGCCGTAAGGATTTCGGAGCAACCCTGCTTTGTCGGCATATATTTTGTTTGATGTACTCTGCAGAACCCCCGAGGGAACGGTGGTGTTCCATTTTATGGGAGGCTCCTTCACTTTGAGCGCCAATACCTTGATAGATTCATATCCTTTTTTGTTTAGTGGTAGTTTCCACTAAACCACTAAAAGTAAAACTTCTAGCGTGTTTGAGGACAGCCCAGTTGTTGTTGTATATGTTTCCAGCATAGTCAACCTCAAGCAAGGCTCCCGCTGAGCAACTAGGAAAACAAAGGATGCCCCCTTGTCTCCCACCGGGTGCTCACTCCTGCCAGGCTGCACCTGAGCCATTCTCTTGTGAGGGTCCCGCCTGGAATGATTTGGGCTCAGATGCGCCTCTCTCCATCGATTCGATGGCGCGACAGGCTGTTCCAATCTGCAGCCCAGCGTTCGCACCCGATTTAACCCGCAGTTTTGAGCCAACCAGCGGCCGGTTATGATTTTTTTTGATCTCGAAACACGTCGAGAAATCGAGAAGTACTCCATCCTCTGAAAGAGTCGTCGGAGGTTTTTCGTGAAAACGTCGGCTCAGAAAGCTCTGGATCCCGGGGGCTTGTGCCGAGGGCCTAACGGATTTGGCCGAGGGTTTTCAGGGAATCGCCACAGCAGTGGCCTCATCCCCGAATTGTGTAGGTTCAGATCCTTGTTGTTGAGTTTGTTTGTGTTTTGGGGGCGGGGGAGACCTTTAACAAAAAATATATGGATGGGGGGGGTTGAGATGTTTCACATTTGCCCAGTTGCGCAGGAGAGGAGGAAAGGGGGCCCCGCTTTTTTCAGCAACGGTGGAAAAAATGGGAAGCTGTTTGAATCTCCATTTTGTGACGGGCTACTCAGTCTCTGTATCACTGTGAGTAGTCTATGTTCTGCACCTATGTATATATATATATATATATCGTATACATTGTCAATTTGTCACCCTCGTTCTAAAGACAGGACTTAAGTATCACCTGGCTGGATCTCTAGAACTCCCCAAGCCCACTTCTGGCAAGCTCACATATCAAAAAGTGATACTATTTCCAGGATCTCGATCTTTGGTGACGCCCTATCGGGTTTTGCAGCTTGCTAGTTTTTGTTGTTTTTGCTTGGCTATCGGCACTCATCAGCTGAGGCACAATCAAAACCCCGGTAAATGAAGGTTAGTAAGGGCCAATCCCAGCCATTAATAGCTGCGGCCGCGGTTATTTGGCTGTCAAGGTGGAACCTGCCTTCAACCTGAAGATTCCCCAAAAGCGAACCAACTTCAAGGACGACACCTCCGAGTTGCGTGAACAAGAATACAGGCGTCCAGTTCCTTTGCTACATGTTTAGGTGATGTCCTCTGTACCTGGAAAGATGACTTTGAAAATTCTATCATGGGACTGCACAGGGCTTCTCAAAAGGTACAAGTTTGCCATGTGTTTCTAAAAATCAAAACCAAACACAACTGGTACCTTTTTCCGGCAGACAGAAAGGAGGCGTTGTAATGTTCAGGCGGATGATATAAGAATCCGGTTCCTTCATTTGAGGTTGGCAGATGTTTTTTTAGAAACTTGGAAGGAGCCTGGCGATTGGGTTGATTGCTTTGGGCTAGCCCACTCCCGGCGATCCAATCCCCGGAGGGCCAGACCGACTTTTCCGGCCGCAAACCTTTCTCGCTCCCATAGATCCACAGGAAGAAGAGAGCGGACTCGATTCGTCGATCGGTGGCTCCACCGGGCAGGCCCTGCTTTGTTTGAAACAGGAGGGTGGTACAGTTGTTTCGTTCAAATCTCTATAGCTCAGCTTTTACCCTCCCTCCAACAATCATAGAAGCTGGCAGGAGAGTTTTGGCAGACTAGTTTCCTGTTGGGGAAGCCCAACGCCCACTTCCACAATTGTTGTATAAGGAGGTTGGTCAAATTGGCCGGGGGATACGGAGTCCAACATGAGCTTTTTGAAAGGCCTTTTGCGCCATGCCTGCAGGGGCCCGGTTGTTTTGGCCCGAAGCAAAAGGCTGTGGCTCAAAATTAAACTGGATGGGGTTTTGCGGGTTTTGGTCCATGTGTCCACTTAGCAAGGTTCTATTTTGGAATTCCGGTTTTTTGAGCCCACAACCAAAAGATAAGATGCAGGTCCAACAGGTTCAAAGACAACAGGTTTGTTGGGCCAATGTGAAATAGAGCTCCTTCAAGAGGTTAACCTTTGTTTCTGCGTCGTTTGGTCAATTGGCTTGCTAGACATATTAAATATGCTGTGTCACTTACTACTGTTGGGACTCCGCATCGTTGAGTTTGTTGGCCTAGCCAGTATGTTTGTTTGGCTTGGCGGTTGGTGTACTGCATAGCGGAATACAAAGCACGCGTTTGGCAACCGCAAGTTGACAAGCAATGGCTCGTTGGGCTGGCTGTGAAGTATTAGCATTTGGTTGGCATTGGCAGCGACTTAGTCCTGTTATCAGTCTGTTATTGTAAGACTTCACTTGGGTCGATCGACTGGCGACATGCGTGACGCTTTGCCTGAACTGCTATGCGTGACGGCCTGAATGTCCTTGAAGGCTGACAGGTAACAACGAACATGCGCGCATGAGCCTTGGCAACCGCGCCACACGTGGCCGCCGAAGCGAACACATTTTAGGACGGAGCATCCCAAGATGCGGATGTTCGGCATGCTCAGAGCTAGATCTCATCAGGTGCTTCACAGATGCAACCTGGTGAGGTATCCAGTAAGCGGAATGCGATGGCTTAAGGTGGCAGCCTGATCCAAGGCTCGGGATGTGCGTGGGCTTGAACGTTGCCAGGCTTGGCTTACCTTTAGCAAAAAATGGGGTTGCCTTTGTGGGTTTGCTCAATTTCCCCTTTCAACCAGTAGCAAGTTGACTTTTTGTAGGGGTTCTGAAGGGCGACCTATCATTTCTACACCATATCGTGAAGTGGTCGTAAGGGCTGTTGGGCCAACGTTCATATTTGTTTGTGAGCCCCGCGCACTTGTTTAGAGGAGGTCTCACAGAGGTCCGGGCAGAGCCGTTCATTGCAACAAAACGAGGCACCCCAGCGCCAATCGCTGATCCGAAACCTAAGCAAACCGGGCTGGTTTACTTGCAATATTTAGGGCCATTGGGCCATCATAGTTCAGATTACCCTGAAATGATTGGGATTGGGTGCATTTTACCGACCTCAACCCCAGTTGCTCAGTGGCGCTTGTTCTGCTTTTGCTTGTTGGGAGCCTGGCTACAAGTGGAGTGAACCAGCCAACAGGCTTCTACTTTTTTTGTTCACCAAGGTCACTTAGTCTAGTCACCGGACAGGGCCCCTGTCAGAGTGCCGTCAGAGTTGCCCACGGACTTGCGAAGTGGAACTCTAGGAGGGAAACTGGGCCAATTGATTATTATGGCAACTGGCAAACGCATCAGGACCTTTTCTGGGGAATCCGACGTCTATTTGGTGACGTTAGTGAGCCAATCCGAAGAAAAATGGCACCACTTCAGCAGGAGGCTCAATTCGGCCAGGTGGCTAAACCAACCCAAAAAGGGGTACCCTCAAAAGAAGAGACACGTCCAAATGGAGTCCCTCGGCGCCGGGTTTTGGCACGCAGGCCCCGACTTTTTGGTTGGCTATGAGGCCGCTGATCGCCGCTCCGGCTGAAAGACCATCTCGATCAAAATTCCGCGGCCAAGGGCTGAACACAGTACCCACAGCCAGCAATACAATACCATGTGCCAATGAAGACGGAAAAGGATGGAAGGGTTACCTGGTCCCAATGCGGGCAAATGGGGAACCACCCTTGCAAAGCCAACACAGAAATGGATCGAAGGGTTACTTAGTGGTAAGTTGGATACACCGGCATGGTTTTTCTTGGACGGTGACAGAAGGAATATATAGTGCAACTAGGGGGGCCCCTGATTGGGGGGAGGTCCTGCGGGGCCTCTTTGAACGAAGAAAAACGGAGTGGGGAGGATGAGAAGGGCGCCCAGCCAAACATCTCCCAACACCGTGCCCCCCCCCATTTCCTCCTTGTCCATTCCGGGTCTCATATTCTGCGTTGAGGGACCCCAAAGAGAGTTGCTCCGTTGAGTTTCGAAGCTGCCCGTTTGGTGAACGACTGTTAGGTCTCTCGTTCTCCACCCTTGTGCCAGGGATGCCCGATTTGTTTTGTGCGAGTCGGTGATGCGTAAGGCCAAGTTTCGCCTAGGTCCACAGGCGAGATTGCAAGTGCGCTAAAGGCAGAGCCCTATCCGTGCTTCAGATTCCAGTCATTTCGCTGTGTCAGCCTGTTCAGGGATTGTAATTTATCCCGTTATTCCTGAGCCATTTGGAACTTCCATTGAACATGTGTGCAACTTTGCCCCCGTCATATTGCTTGGAGCCATCATATTGTTTGACCTTTTCAACCTGTTGGAGGAATATCAGGTTGGCCAACCTACAAGCGATTTTTTGCTCGGTGTTTGGCTTTGGTGCAACGTGCTTTCAAACATCACCTTGTAGAAAAAGTCGATCCATTAACAATGATAGATCATATGAGTTTCCTTCAACTTGGTCGCTTAAGGCGGCCATATTTGAATCCCTGTCTTCCCCTGGTTGATACTCGTTGAGATTATGACAATCCAGGGTTGGGTCCACAAAAGGGTTCCGCATCCAGAAACTTGCCACGGGACAAGCTGGTTGATTGGGCGAGGCGTTGCTGTTTTGTTTTAATGTCCCCGGCAAGATGCTGCTCATTGCCATGTTCCTGGCCATGCTGGCCCACTACGAACTGGCAGCTCCAGCCATAGGTGTCCTTGACCGTTTCCCGAAATGGATGGCAACCCACGCCCATTGGGTTCTGGGATCTAACGGGTTTCCCTTTAAACCCCTAGCACCGGTTTCCCTGCCCCCCCCCCCCCTGGAAGCACCGAGGCCGCCGCTTGCGCCAGCTTGGCTCACGCCCAGGCAAGGGAGGTTTCGGAGTTGGGGGGTTGCTAGGTCCCCCAGTAGTGCCCTTCTCTCCCCTTTTTTGGGGGAGGGTTCCCCTACTAAAATAGACTACAGAAAAAAAGGGTACCCTTATTCTATCCTCTGTACTAAAGGACCTAGCCTTAATTATGGTTTGTATTGGTGGTTTGTATTGTTTGAATTCTTGAGTCTTGCAGAACCACCCTTTTAACCTCCAAGCCACCAATCCGGCCCACCAGGTAGAAAGCTGCAGTTTGGGAATGGTATGGGCATGGTGGATTCCATGCAAGCAAACCACCACCCCACTTTTGTGTGCAATACACTGTGGATGAAATCTCGCACCACCCAAGAAACCTTGGTTTCTGATGGTTCCCCAACTAAAACAATGGCTTCAACCATGGTTTCAAAGTGGTGCGGTTTATGGAATTCGCATCCATCCACAGCGGGAGGGGCAGAGTCATTGAGTTTGTGGGGCATCTCCGATTTGGCAGACTGCCTTAGATCCTGCGAGTTTAAGGGGCGAAGGCCGAAAGGGATTGGGAGGGGTAGAACTGGCAAATCCTGCAATGCGGGCACCCAATCCTTAATTCGCCAACGGCGAGGGGATCCTTCTTTCTTACAACCTCAAGAAACCCAGTGAAAACCATTGGGTTTTGAAGAGAAAGATGGTTGAACAGAATGGGGAATCAACCCCTAGAAGAAGGACAAACATGTGGTTCTCATTTATTTCTATGGACTTAGCTAGCAGCTTGCGGGTTTCCGGTCATGGGTGTGCCAGTTTCAGGTTGTCGATTGATATCTTCATCGATTTAGTCAACGCCCAACAAGCTTTAGCCGTTTGGTGAGTCAAGTCTTGGTCTCCTTCAAACTTGAGTACCCCAGACTTAACTGAAACTTATGTCAGTTTCAAGTTTTGCTCTTCCTCCAAACTATGTTTGGAACATATGCTTCTTGAGTAGCCCAGATGGCCAAGAATTCAGCAGATGAGTTGAAGTTACGGGCTTTCGGAGGCGCCACACTTGCTGCTGGCGGACAATGGAATGCACAGCTTCATGACGGCGCGAGACCTCAGGCTGTTAGGCTGGCAGGTCCTGGACTCCTGGGCTGGAGCAGGTGGCGGCAACATTGGTTTCAACAGCTAATTGCTTGGCTGTTGGACCAAGTTAGTGAGTGCTTAGTAGCCTAGGTTTTTATCCACTTCGCAGTCCCCTTGGGGAGGGGAGCCTTTTGTACGTCGGTGGTTACCCCGGTCACGTGACTTGGCCGAACTGTCAAGTCCGAGTCCCCGTGAAGAAACAAAGAAGCAGCGCCCAGGCAAGGCTTTAGGAGCCAGGCAGACTTAGGGATGACTTACCAATGTGACAAATCTGCGTTCCATCGCGTTCGTAGCACTTGGAATTGTCCACTAGGACGCCCAAAAGAGTGTTGAAGCACAAACAACACTGGTGTTAGAAACCATACTCAGAAGGCAATGACAACTGAATCATTGATTTCACTGCATGATGTGCTTTGTTGATGCCGCTTCCACAAACATCATGGAGCAACAGCAGCTCGACAAGTGCACATACCGAGTACGTTTTGAACAAGTGCCTGCAGTGGGAAGGCGAAATTTCCAGTCACAGTGGAAAGGCAGTGGCAATTTCCAGAACACTAATGAGGGTTGATTGCCAATTCTCGTTGCTCGAGCTTTCAGAAACAGCCGGGTTTGGGTTCTCATTTCTGAAAAAGGATCCTTGAGAACGGAGATGGGTACGGCTATCCCTAGCCTGATTGTTTGTTGGCGAGGAGTTGTTAGGAAGCAATTCCACTTTCGAGAACTTGGATTTGAGGGGTGGTTTGGGGGTACCAACCGCAACTCTCCAACTGGGTATGTTGGGTATGTGTTACATTATAGGGGTATCCAAATCCTGGTTTTCCCGTTGTTTCTGGTGGTTTCCCTTTAACCAAGCTGAACAGCACAACAAAATGGACACCTGCCCAAGTAATGCCCCATACTTTTGCGGTGGGTACCCACCACAGCAAATACCTTCTGTTTCTTGATCTATACATATATATATATATGTTCATGTTTTGTCAGGGGTTGATGTGGTGCCCCTAAAAACGGGTGGGTATTTGGACGGGGTATGCCCAACTTTCCAGTCGCCCTCCCCGCTTCGTTTCGGAAACTGACCAGCGCGGCTCGCTCGAAACCGAGGAGTCCACGTCCTACTGCTATCGCCATCTCCTGGCGGACCCGCTCTGCTGCAAGGCGCGGGGAAGTCAAGTTCCCAAGGCTCCGGAGAAAAGCTCCGCCAAGTTGGCCACCCAAAAACAAACAGGACCATTTGCTTGGAGGCTCCCAGTGATCCGGTTCCTTAGCTTTTTAGGTCTTTTTAGTTGGTTTAGTGGTTGGGTTTCCGAAATTAACCCACTAAAAGGATCTGAGGACAGCCCAGGTTTGTTTCCGCCAATAGAAACACAATCTTGAGGGTTAACGTCCATAGCCCAAAAGAAAGGCCCAGCCTTTCATGTTTGAATCACTCCAAGGTAGGTCGATTTACCCGTGGGCAATTCTCCCAAAAAAACCTGCACCTTGCCCGGGTCCAGAAATGGACGCCTGTTACTTAGACCCACGAACCAAGCCAAACAGCAAACCCCTACATCAGAACCCCTGCTAGTGGAGGCCTGGAAAGCCAAGGCCAGACAACTGCACGGGGTCCTTGGGTTCGCCAGAGAGCTTCACGTCCTTGCGAACGAGAAGAGGCGGTTTTGTTCGACTGGAAGGAGACGATGCGGCTTTGGCCCAGCTGAAACCGCGGACGTGTGGCATTGTCAGCAAAATACGGGCAGCTCCTGCTTTGGCGCCTATGTGGCCAGACACAAGCCGAGCTTGTCCGCAGCTTGCCCTTACGTGAGCTGCACATGATGTACTTGAGCGAGGTGCTTGATTGAGCAGAATGCCAAAGCTTCCCGAACAGTTCGTCACCCCTTTTTGTGCAACCCCAAGTGAACAATGCGGCCTCCTTTTCTGAGCCCAAGATCAAAGGAAAGGACACTGCCCCGCATTTCGACTTGCAACTCCTGGCAAAGCCGATTTACTTTGCTGCAAGCCGTTTTGTTTTGGTCTAGTTTGGGCTTTCGGAGAAGGAATGCGAAAAAGCCCCTATTTTTGTTTGTTTTTTTTTCTTCTTCTCATATAGCGAAGTGAGGTTTTGGAGATGAATGCCTTTATATACTTCTTTTGCCGTACCCCAGCGAGGGGGCTACATGGTTGGGACGCGGAACAGGAACTGGGCCACTGGAGAGCTGTCCATCCGAATACTCCAAGCTGAGGACCAAAGAGTGCCTGGTGGAGTGAGGCGGGCGGCCGGCGGCAGCCGTGTTTTTCCATTTTTCATTTTTTGTTTTCTGGTTCCCCACACCCCATGACGGCTGTTGGATGTTTCTGGTCTGGATTCGTTTGGTTTGGACATTTTTTGGGCACTTGGACGCTCAGAACCGTTTGGATGTTTAGGTGTTATAACTATCCCACTGAACATATCACTTTTAGCAACGCATCAACGCACCACCCTGTTGAACAGGGGTCGCTACATCACCATGGATAGATGTTCGCAAAGAGCAAGTCACCTGAGCTGTGCTTTTTGTTTGACAGTCTCTAGGAGGATTCCACTACTCCCACTCCCCTACCCACTACCTCTCAAGAGAACAATTGGGTAAGGACTCGATAACTCTAAAGACAGCACTTCCCTGCAAGTTAACATCGAACCCAAAAGGGGGTATACCCCGTTTAGGAGGTTTATCTAGAACTGATACTTTTAGTGTTCCATGTTTTTGCAGGGAGCGATTCCAGCGATTCGATTCGGTTGGTAGCATGGGGAAAAGCCATGATGTATCTACTTACAGCCATAGGTGTCCTTTTTGGTTGGGTTCGTTGAAACATAGAGAGCCCTGGTTTACCTCAATCATCTACCAGGGCCATCTCTTTTCCACTACAGGACGCCTATGCTTACAGCTATTTGAGAAATGTTGGAGAAACGATTGTGGAAATAGTTCAGATCTTCCCCTTGTGAGCAGAGCTCCATGTTGAACCAATCAGGTGCATGAGGTTGGGCCATGGGAGGTAGCAAGTCACAGATGCCACGGATATTCGCCATTTGAGGTCAACACCTGGGATCCGTTGCCAGTTCCGGGCTCCAAATCCTTGAGGAAACATGCGATCGGACTGGCGTCGGATGTCAGCCCAAGTCTTTCAGGCAATGTGGTGCCCCTCATGGGCGCGAGTTTGCCCCAGACTTACCCTCCGATCTAACATGTAACCTGGCTGGTGATTGATCCGACATTCCATCATCTACTATGACTTGTCCACTTCCCCATTTCCGGCGTGGAAATGCTTGGCTCGAAATTGGGGGACACACACGCTTTTGGATGGTTGTACCAAGTCAAAGGACGCCAGCCAACTTGGTTTATGACGGTATACCCTCTTTTTTGTGGTTGTCAAGATTCACAAACACGTCAACATGACAAAACAAAAGAAGAAGAAGAAGAAGAAGAAGAAAAGAGAGAAACACAAAAATAACACAACAAAACAAAAGCGCGCTAACGGTCTTCGTACAGTATGGGCGGCTGAGCGATCTCACAACTAAAAGCCAGGCAGAGCCGGAGAGGCGCAGGGATTCGAGAAATCGCGAGAACAGCAAGGTCTGGCACGAGAAGTTTCTCAAGAAGGGTGTTCCGAGTGCTGGGCCTACGGCGCTTGGGTATGCAGGCGTCAAAGGTGTGGCGCCGGAGCCCGGGCCAATGGAGCGTCTTGGTAGGTGGAGCAGCAACCGATGAAGGCATCGGATTGGCTGCGCTTCTGCTGTCCAGTTTGACCGGATGTGAGGGACATGCGGCAGTGACTAGAAGGTATTTGCTCGAATCAGTGCTACTCTTTCGGTGCTTCGATCTACGATCTACGAAGCCGGATCTAAATCGTTTTCCTTGACATTGCAGTTTTTTTGACCTTGGCTCACATGGATGGCTTTCCTAATTGCCCGGTGGTACGCACCACTCCGTTTGTTGTTTGGGTTGTCCCTTCGAAATAAGTATAATCGGCTCAGCGAGAGTGTTGCGGCGCTCATTGAAATTCGAGCCCCCAGCTTGCCTTGGGGGAAGGACAACATGTTGTTGTTTCTCGAAATTGGAGAATTTCAGGTGTCCCCTCCTTCTGGTTTCCCACACTGGTTTTCTCTGGCAGTTGGGAACCGACAGCGGTTTTCCATCCACTTTTCAGCGCCAGGCACCAGGAGATCGTGAGGGAGGGCGGCAGCTGGACTTGTGCAGGGCAGCCGAGATGTGGGGTGGGTATGGGAGGGGCTCTTCGGGGCTCTTGGGACCTGTGGTGCCCTATGTTCAATGTACTTTTGTGTGGGTTTCGCCTCAGAACAAAGCAACCAGGAGAACGGGCGTCAGTCTTCTTTCCTTTTTTGCCTGACGTCGAGGGGTTTGGGTAATCTTTCCCCTGGGTTGCGAAGGGAACCAATGAGTCATTGAATCCACCGTTAGGGCAAGTTGGAGTGTATCACTTCAATGAACCCAGAGCCAGCGGCTTTTGTTTTGGGGGATTTGCTAGCTGCATCCACATAACAGGTCAAAGGGCATTTGACAAGGGACACTGAAATCGGGAGGTACCTTTTGATTGGGATGCAACGCTCGTTTTCGTCAGATCTGACCTTTTCGGCTAACGGTGGCGTTGGGGGGCGGGACTTTTCTGATGGTCTCGGCCAGTCTGTGTCGGTGGTTCTCAAAATAAAATCGGTCCCCTAGAATGATAACGATTTCCTCATGGTTCACCTTTGAATTAAATACCAAGCAGGGGGTAATACGCCATTCTGAGAAACACTCTTGCAAGAGCGAGCGGCAAAGTCTAGCCAAGTCACAAGTTCATACACCCCGCTTTGGGTTTGGTGCATGTTGCTTGGATGTTAGGACTTTCACTTTTTCCAACTAATGGGTTTTCCAAGTAAACCACTAAAGGTTAAACTTTTAGCAGGGGAGCAGAAGTCAACCGAGTTGGGTTTCATCGAGCCGGTGGAAGCAGCTTCGAGCGACGAACAGCTGCGTGGCATCGCGCGCTGAGAAGGCAATGCGAAACAAAATCAGAAGTATTGGGGTTGACAATAGATGAAACATCTGAACACAATTGTTGTCGGTGTACCCTGAACTGGGGCCGCAAAGTGTTGAGTTGGCAACGCCACTCCACGCCACTCCAACAGATTGGTGATGTGTTTAGACAGACCTTTGGAAGAATCAATCCAAGGTCCTTTGGGGAGTGAGGTCCTTCGGGGAGTCCTTGCTTCAGGTTCGTGACATGTAGCCATCGGCTTGGGCAACTGGAACAGCGGTCTCACCTGAATCCTCCGGAATAGAGTGTAGGAATCCTCTTGCTATGTGCGCAACTTCCTGAAAGCGGGCACAACGACCGACAGTGCACCATCCACTTTTGCATCTGAGGGAGATGGCTGCGCAGACGCCAGGGGTGCCCAGATTTTTCTGCCAAGACGTGTTGGACACTGGGATCTCTTACACAGCCTGTTTGGGACATGTTTGTGTGTGTGTGTGTGTGTTCCATCAACCCACCTAAATTTAAACATGTTTTTTTTTTTTTTTTTTTTTTTTTTTTCTGAGAGGCAATAGCCAGCGTTTGTGTTGGTTGTTTCTGTCGAGGGCAACGCTGACGATGCTGACATTGTTCAGGGCTGCAAACCCAAAGAGCCCCCCAACCGCTAAGGCTTTAATGGAGTTGTTGTGTTTTGTGTTTGTTCTCTTCATTTTGTTTTTGTTTGTTTGGGGGGGTCCCTGCATCTTTGGTGTTCTGTTCCTTTGGTTTTGTGCATCTCATGGTGGGGCGTGAGGAACAATGTTTTTGCCAGATACCAAGCCTAGTGATGCCTAGTGCAGTCACCACTACTCCCAGGGAATCAGGGTTCCTTTCCTCTGAGTTTTACATGATAGTTTCCTGGAAGCTCAAAACGTAATCATAGATTCTGCATCCCTAGAAGGCAATTGTCCGTTTAAGGGGACCTCTGCTCAGGTCCAGGCTAGTTTTTGCCTACACGTGGAAAACCGTACGTGTAGTTACTGCCATCGGTTAAAAAACCTCGACGCTCATCATGCCGGCCCATGATAAGCACACCCGCCCCGCAGCATCCACACCCAGCAGAACACATGCTCAGCCCATGATAAGCACACCCGCCCCGCAGCATCCACAGCCAGCAGAACACATGCTCAGCCCATGATAAGCACACCCGCTGCGCAGCATCCAGAGCCAGCGGAACACATGCTGAGCCCATGATAAGCACACCCGCCCCGCAGCATCCACAGCCAGCAGAACACATGCTCAGACCATGACAAGCATACGCGCCGCAGAATCCAAAGACAGCAGTAAGCACCCGCCCCGCAGCACCCACAGCCAGCAGAAAACATGCTCAGCCCATGATAAGCACACCCGCTCCGCAGCATCCACAGCCAGCAGAACACATGCTCAGCCCATGATAAGCACACCCGCCCCGCAGCATCCACAGCCAGCAGAACACATGCCGCATCCGCATTCGACCACTGCCCACATCAGCGAGTTTGTGATCTTGACCGTGATGTCGCGATCGTGTCCTCCAGTGAGTCGTGCCCGCCAAGCTCCAGTTCCAGCTTGGGACTCCTGCCTTCGCCATCGCCAGCGAGCGGCCCCGGTTCGCATATGTCAGACGAGGAGGCCCTGGAAGATGACTCGCATATGTCACACGAGGAGGCCCTGGAAGATGATTCGCATATGTCAGACGAGGTGGAAGATGATTCGCATACGTCAGACGAGGAGGCCCTGGAAGATGATGCTGTGCTCGGGATCAAACGAACCACTCGGCACTGCTCAAAACGCAGGCGAAACGCAATTTTCTTCAAACAAAGGTGCTACTTTTCGCCACTCGCACCTTCATTTCGTATGGTAAAAGACAGTGTTTTGTTGAATCCCCCTGTCACGGTGTGATTATTTCCCTCCAGACATGACAAAACACATGGCAGGCGTGGGACGGGGGTGACAGAGCGTGGCGCAAATTTAGCGCAGCGGCACGTTCCATTTTCCACGCGCCGGGTAGTTTTTCGGGGAGTACTTGCCAACGAACCGAGGGAACATGCTAGCGCTCACATGTTTACGAAACGATATCTGCACACCCGAAAGTTGTGGAGTTTTTCCACGGGGGCAACTTGCAGCTTTTTTTGGGGGGGGACAGCAGACAAACCGTTGGACAGCTATTTCTTGTGACTAATTTAGCTCGATGGTATGTGATTCGTATTTGAGGATTTGGGACAACAACATTTTCTTAGGCCCCATAATTCGATGCTGTTCGTTCGCAATAGACTTTTTTGTATAATATATATATATATAATCATGAGCGAGTTGACTCGTCCAAGCCCAGTTCTTTCAACTTTCAATCGTTTAGTTCTTGTCTTGTTGTTGAGCGTTGACTCAGGGTCCCGTAAAGAATGCATTTGGGCCGCTCCAGCATCACCTTAGAGGATTTGCTTGCAAAGCAAGGCGTTGTGCGGATGTCTCCTTGGAGGAACCTGCGACTGAAACGACAAAGTTTGGCAATCCACAGGATTTAGCGCCTGAGCTCTTGCCCGGACCCGACCGAAGACCTTTTCCTGGGTGTTACATGGCTTTTCCCAGGACACGAACATGGGATGAGTACCGGTGGTTTTCTTTCCAAGGCCCAAAACATATCACCCCCAGGTTTTCCTATAGCTTTCGTCTTGGCTCCCGAAGGCTCACATGTTGCTTCTTGGTCTTTGGGGCTTGGTTTGGATTGGAGCAGGGAGATGTTTTCCCTTGGGAAACACCCCAGGGCCCCTTTCAAGGTGGGCAGTAGGGACATAAAGAAAGCCAGCAGCTTTGGAGTTCCTTGGGTTTGGCCGTTCCCTGGGTGTGGCTCAAAATTCACCAGGAGGGGCAAACCGCAAGTTTTGGTACCCATGTTTCCACTTACCAGGAGGTTCCATTTTGGAATTCCGGCTTTTTGAGCCACAACCACCTGGTGGTTCCCAGCCATCCGGTCCCTTAGACTTTTAGCAAATGGCAGTGTTTGGTGCTTGGATTTCAAACTTTCCAGTTCACCCACTAGAGGTTGTTCGACTTTTCGTGTTTGTTTTTTTTCTTCAGGAAACGGTTCAGTCCAGAAGAAACCCGTCCCCAGGAAACGGCTCGAGTCCATGGCGCCGCATGGCGTTTCGCCTTTCGGGCCTAAGGAGCTGAAGGGGGAGCGAGGGAAGGACCTCCTTTGGTGGCCTCAGGCGCGGTCGAACTTTCGCGTCGCGCCATCGGAAGGCTTTTCTTTGTTTGGCGTCAAAGAGGGACATGGGGAAATACAAATCTTGGCGAGGGAGTTGGATGTTTCGTTGTTTTTTGTTGGTTGTTGATTGGTTGAAACAAAAAGAACCCGGCCACATATGACCGCATGGTGCGTTTGGAAGAAGAGGGTGTTTTTGATCAAGCACCAAGCGTTCCGCCCTTTGTTGTCTACTGGGAAGTCCACTGCTCCCTCGGCCTCCTTCGCCGGTTTGGGGCCCAAGTTTCCCAAGCAGATGGGTTCTTCTGGCTCTTCTTGGGTCTTGGCAAGGGTCGATGTCGCCTGGGTGGTTCAGACCGCGTGGCGTGGCTGTGGGTCAAAACCGATTTGGGATCCCATTTTGGGGTAGTTGAATTCACCACCCATTTTAGGACCTATTTTAGTGGTTGGGTTGGGATGTTCACCGGGGGTACGATCTGGGTTTTGACCCATGGCCACGTGGCTCGATTTCTTCGTGTGCTCGAGAATTGAAACGGAAGCAACGCTGTCTGAAGTGAAGAGCGGTGGCCATCTGCCACTACGACGGGGGGATGACTCAACCCTGGAAGGCTGCCGGAGCTGTACCAAACGAGTTCCAAGAAACGAGAAGTCGAAGTGGACTGCACAAAAATCGACCTCCAAACCCATGATTCTAGATTAGTTACCGTTCCACCAACAGACATGGAGGTGCACAGGCGTTTTTCCAAGAAACCTATAGTCTTTGCTTGGCCTTCTACGCCAAGCCATGTTGGTGGAAGCGTAGCGGCCTAAGAAGAACCAGACCTAGTAAAAAGCCAAGTAATAAAACGGGTGTGTCTGTCTTAGGGGACACCCCCCCCAAAAAAATGGTTGTCCTCTAATGGTTTCTCTTAAAACAAAAAGCGGGGACCCCCATCAAAGAGACACACCACACCCAAGTAGCTCTACCGGGCGGGTCTCAACCCTGTGGCAGGCCGCAGACTGCAGCTCGCCCAGGGTGCTGTTTGCGGGCTCCTGAGGTGTCTGGTGACTGGCGCGTGGGTGACTGGACCGATGGCTTGCAGTTCCCGGGTAAATGCGGGAGCTGATCAACATTCCGTGAACGGGCCCCAGTTTTGACCATGGGTAGCCTTTTTCATTTCTAGCAGTTAGGGGCGAGGTTAATTTGTCCAATTTAGTGGTTGACATATCGGCTTTTCGGTGGTTTTCCAACCAATGGTCATCCCAGTAAAGGACCTTTTGATCGACCCCCCCTGTGTGTAGCACCCCCGAAGGCAAAAAGCAAAGGTTGGTGGGTGCTGCTGTGGGTGCGTCGTCGTTTTGTTGGAGGTCCCGTTTTGGTTGGTTTTAATCGGACACCAAATGCCCATGAAATAGTTGTTTGGAGTTCCCCTGTTTTGAGTCCAGGGGAGTGACCAAACTGCGGGTCCATGTTTACCCAACTGGAAGCGCTTCGCCATTCAAAATAAGGTTGCCATGTGTGCGTTTGCACCACTTGGTTTACGAGCTCGCGCCCATGGTTACTCTGAAGCTTCCCTTCCGAACTGACAAATCACGGGGGTAGGGGGGAGGGGGGGAAGGGAGCGCCTTGATTCCTTGGTCAAGGAATCGGAGTACGCGCCCCGATTTTTTAGCTTTCCACACTTCCCAACGAAAAGGTGTCAAAACCACGCCAGATCGTTGATTTGGCAGGGAGGAGATTGCTTGAACGTGTGTGTGTGTGTGTGTCCTTTCGAAATGGTTTCCCGCCTAGCTGCTGCTACAGCAGTAGAGTAGTATCTGATTTTCTTTTGGTGGGGGTGACGATTCTTTTTACATTGGCACTGGTATTTTACACGTGTAGGGACCCCTCATGAAGGTGACTCTTGCGAGCCGACTTGCGGGTGAATCTTTGGGGGTTTGCGACATTGTCTGCACCTTTTCGGCGTCCTAGTGTTCTGCGAAACAAATCCAGAAGAGGGTCCATCTGCCTTTGATTCCCATCTGCGGCGCTCCAAAAGATGAAGGGGCCCCCTATGAAACGGGGTGATCATACAATCTCCCAAACGATTTCGATCGCATTTCGTTGAGCCACGAAAGCGAAGAACCGACCCCTTCCCCTTCCCCCCGTTTCCCCCGCGGCCGAGGAGTCTCGCCGTGTGTTTCTTGAGGTGCATGGCGGCGGCTGGCAACGGCATGGGCCCGGCCAGGCCACGGTAAGACGAAAGACGCGAGCGCGCCAAGAGCTCGCCGGCTTCTTGGGGTGAGGTACCCTACGTCTCTTTCCTCGCAACATCTAACCTGAGGCTTCGGCCAGCATGTTTTCCCCGCCGAGGAGTTGAGAGTACCCTCCTTCAGGTTGGTTTTTTAGAACTCACAAGAGCACCGGGGATCCCTTCCAACGTGTCCTATTGGTTGGGCCCACGTTCCTTTTGCAGCAGGCGTCCTACAACGTGCTGGCAGCCAACTTGGCAGAGGCCGACGGGGATCCGATGGCTTGCACGAAAAGTCGGCCCATAGGGAGGGCGCTGGCTGGATCAGTCAATGTCCCAGAAGCTTAGCCTATGATTTCCAGGTCACCTGGGCAAGTGGACTTAAGCTGGTTATTTCCCCTTTGGTGTATTGTCGATCGGTTGGTACAAATCGAGGGGTTCACCTAAATGTCAACGATCTAAACGCAGGGTTAAATGACACTTGCGACAAAGGGGATCCTTTGTTTCCAACAAAGCGACATGTCTGGAATGCCACAAGTAAACCTCGTGTCCAAGGCGGCAGAAGGGCATGTCAATAGATGAACATAAGTGGGGACGCCAGCAATGGCCGGTTTTCCATTTGATGTCTCTTCAGAAAGTGGCCCCCATTAACATTCCCGCCTAGTCGTTCTCGGCAGCGAGGCAATGCCTCCTTTAGGTAAAGACCCAACATTTCAAACTTCTCCAGCGGGGCGTGCATTCCATTAAAATTTATTTTATACAATTAAAATGATATTATACAACAAGTTTAATTAACAAATTGCTTTGGGCACACCAAAAGCCGTGGGTTGGACTTGTGACCTTGGCCGCTCAGCTCGATGTTCATGTCCAAGCCCCAGTCGCTTGGCTCGGGCCTGATGTTTTTTTTTCATGGCGCGCCGGAATCTCTCCCCGAACTCCTCCAAGTTGCGCACATCTCATTGCCAAAAAGGGCAAGGGTGGAATCCTAGCCCTTTGCTGTTCTGCAGCTAAAGGCCAATCTTGGGGAAACTGGGGGAATGTGAGGGAGATCGTGCCATTCTGGCTTGCCCACCCGTATCGGGAATGCATTTGCTTCTCCAAGCCTGAAGCAACGGGTCCTTACACTACAGGGTTCCACCTATGTCTTCCATTTTGGTGGTTTATCAAACCGCAATTTTGGAAAAACCATCATGTTTGATTTAGTTTTCTGCTCCAGGTCAGGTGATGTTTGGGGGATTATGGGTAGGGCACCTTATAATGCTGCGATGGACAAAATCCTGCACCACTTTGAAACCATGGGAAACCATTGTTTGTTGGTATTTACAGGTGAATCATCATCCCAGGGTTTCTTAGGTGGTGCAGGGTTTCGTCCATCCACAGTATTGAGGCCCAATTCTGGGGTACACCGAAAATGACTTCTTGAGATTTGAAGCTTCCCAGAAAAATAGAAATCGGAGTCGATACTCTGGCCAGGTCTCGCGCGCCGCGATCTTGGCCGAGCCCTCAACTCGTCTAGGTGCCCCGGTAGTGCCCTTCTCTCCCCTTTTTTTGGGGAGGGTTCCCCTGCTAAAATAGACTAAAGAAAACAGGGCACCCTTATTCTAACCTCTCTAACTAGTGGAGGACCTAGTCGTGGAAAATGAACAAAAGGGGTCCTTGTTTGGTTGTGTCTTTTTGGTTCAGGGGCGCCCTGTTCTGACATGCAATCTGGTTTCCTTTTCACATGTTGCTGTGGTGAATTGACCTTTCGAGTCTTGATGTGGGAAGCAATAGATTTGACTCGGTGTTTCATAGCTATGAAATAATGTCAAAAAAGGTTTTATGAGACTCGGGTCGTTCAAAAGCTATAGCTATGGAGTGAAGAAAGTGTCATCCATGACTGGAATTCAATAGACCGTGTTTATCTTTCCACTCGAATGTTAATTGAGTCAAAAGACCCCCCCACCCCAACACACTCCCACACACACCCACACTCCCTCACCCTGCTCCTTCGGACTGCTGGCGTTGCCAACCCAAGAGCCGCCTCTTCCTCTCTCTGTTTCTCAGTCGTCTCCAACTCCACCTCCTCCTCATCGGGTTTTTATTTTACTGCCGCCGCGGCTCTCCTCCCGGGTACTGGTACCTTCTCCGTGAGCTCCCTCCACAAAAAAGACTTGGAAGGCGGGGCTTGGAAGGCGGGGATGCCCTTCAATACCAGGGTTGAGACGCTCATGACTCGGTGCCTGCTTTGGGCTGCCGTGTTTTCTGCCGCAGATTCTCAAAGAGATATGAGAACCGGTGACCTTGCCGCAACTCTTGGTAATTACGACCTTTAAACTACATGTTTGTTTCCCGACTGACTAAGCTGTAACTGCCATGTATTTTGCAGCTTTCCTTAGACCCAAGTTAAAATCCTCGAACAGAGCTTAGCGCGCCATTGCCATGCGTCTTTGTGCGCCGCCCCAACCTGATTTGTTGTTGCACCATTCACCGTACAGTCAAACATAAAGGGAACAATGGCGACTGGTTAGCCATTGGTGAAGAAAACACCTGTTGGCCCCTTTCAGCAAAACTGGAGCAGAAAAAGGTCGGTGTTTTGCAAACAAAGACACACTTATTTGCCCCTGGGAACAAAAATCGGAACAACAGAAGCAAACATACATATATACAAGCAAACAAACAACAACAAACAGACAGACAGACAGACAGAGAGGCAAACAAGCAAACAACCAACCAACCAACCAACCAACCAAACAAACAACCAAACAAACAAACAAACAAAAAACACAAGCAAGCAAGCACACAAGCACAGGCAAAAAAGCAACATAGTATCTCTTGACAAGCAGAGCCAACGGCTTTGCGCTCAAGTTGGCTCTTCCCTGCACTCAGGTGCCCGACTATGTGCTTGTGCCGATGGGGAACTACCTGTCCATTATCGGTGTCCGGGGCCCGTCCTTTCGGGTGTGTGCCCAACAACGGCAACGGCTTCCTCTTGGGGTTTAGTGGGTTGCATTTCTAGATGATGTATTTGTTGCCCCGCGGTGCATGGGAACCAACCAAAAGATGTTACATGTTCTGAGCTGCAGACAGCGGTGACTCTCAAAATTAGGGCTTCCAACAAATAGCAAGGGTTCTTCTTGGTTGCCTTTCAAAAGCAGCCAAAAAATGGTCCCTCCCAAATGGAACAAGGCAAAACCAAGCTCTCAAATCGTTTTGCCAGATTAGTAACCTTGGTGGGTATTTGGGATTGCTCGGGTCACAGATGCGTGCATGACATGTCAAGATCAACCCACGGGGTCCAAAGATGGTTCCAGACGACAACCAAAGATGGTTTGAACTTCCCCAAACCGCTGCTTCCGGTGCAAAACAAGATATCCAACTTTAATTAAGATAGTGGATAGTGGGTGTGTATACCATTCGCACTTTCATAGCTTCGGCTTGGGGGTCATGAGTGGAAGCCATTTTAGATCGACCAGCCACAAGTAGAACTCATTTTGTTTGGGGCCGACATGGGTCAGGCAACGTCCGCAAGGACATTTAATTGGGGGCAAGCGTGAAAGCAGCGCCCCCGTCCTTTTTTTGGGCATGCGGCCATCTTGCCATCTTGGATGTCTTGGTCCCTCAGGTCCGGAAAATTATCTGCGCTGTGAACAGCATGCTTTTAACGGGCCTTTTGTTTTGCACCTCCTTTGCCCTGGCGGAATGACCAATTCAATACTGTGGAGGTGGTTCAAAAAATGAAGTGCCTGGTTGCAAGGCAGCATGGGGTTCACCACCCGTTCTTTAAGCAGCAACTGTAAATGAGCCACAGCCATGTGGGTGCTTTTTTGTTGAGGCCTTCTTTTTCGGGTGGTTTTAAAAGGGAAACCAAGAGCCACACCCATGTCATCCACTTGCCACCGATCTAAGTACCTCTTCGATGCCTGGAGCTGGCTGGCGAAGCACGGCCCGGCAGGCTTGGGACGCAACTTGGGGGGGGGAGGTTTGCTCGTTTCGAGACTCCGCTGGCATATCCCAGACCCCTTCCAGGGAGTTTTCCCTGCCCCTTTCCAAGCATTGCTTCGTTTATTTCCCTGACAAAAGACACTTTGAGAGACAGCTGTGTCCAGTTGTCCCTTGTTTGGAAGATGTTGTGTTCTTTCAAGTCAGCTTTTTCTATGTTCCTTTCTTCCAAGTGTTTGTTGGTTTTAAGTCAACTAATTTGTAGTGATGGCTGCCGAAAGCTTATCCTGCGGGACTGCAAACCAACCAACCAACCAACCAGCCAACCAACAAGCAAGGGGAATTTCACATTTTACCAGTGACTCAAAGTGAAGCAAACAATAAAATGTACATTCTCTAACTGGGACTAACTCTAATCATGTGTTTGCAAGTTTTTGGGGCTGTTTGGGTGCTAGGTCCCCCAGCTAGGTGCCCTTTTACCCTGTCTTTCTTGGTTGGGAGGGTTCTCCACTATGAAAAAAAAGGTACCCTTTGCTTGCTTAGGCGAGGATTGCAGCCACGCACCGCAGCCGCCGCTCTTCCTCGCAGGCACGGGGACGCAGTTGGCCATGGGTTTGACTCCAGGGCTCCTTAAAAGGTACATTTTGCCCATTTGAAACGCTGTTTCAACACCAAAATAAAGGGAAACCACCATTGACAAGGCAATGTTCAGGCGTACAATGTAAGGATCCCTGTTTCTGTTCGTCTGTTTGATCAAAATCCTTTCAACTCACTCCCTGAGTTCCTGGACTTTAAATTTGTGGGGAAGACCGTTTTAGTGGCAAATACAAGTTCGTTTTTTTGTTTAGCAATCCACGCAGGAAGTGAGTCAAGGAGCAGGAAGCAGGCAAACATAAATCGGGAGCCGCCCCAAATGCACACTAAACACAGACGGGGTTCTTGTTGTTTTTGGGTGTGTCTTTTTTGAGGGTAGCCTTCTTGGGTTTGGTTTAAAGGGCAACCAGCAGCAAACCGCCCATTTTGAGGGAAACACCATTTCAAGATATACCCACATGTCTCACATTTGGTCGGGGAAAGCATTTTTTGGCAGGATTTTTCAAAGGCTCAAGGCCCAGGGAACGGCTAAAACTCCGCAGGTAGGTAGATGTAGGTTAGGCGTCCTTTTTGGTTTGCTTAAAAAGTAGAGGGCCCTGGTTTAGATGGGGTTTACTCCATTTACCAGGGCCATCCATTTTTCCAAAGGCCACCTATGTGCATGGCATGTCGTTCATTTGAGATGGCTCAGGATTTGGCTCGCGAGTGCGCAACAACATGCTCCTGTTTGCCCGGGGAAAGCTAAAAGGAGGAAACAATTCTAGGTCTCCCAGCTAGGTGCCCTTCTCTCCCCTTTTTTGGTTGGGGGGGGGTTCCCCTAAAATAGACTACAGGAAAAAGGGCACCCTTATTCCAAGCTCTCTACTGGAGCACCTAGAATTGGCAGCTGTTGATGCTTCTGTTCTGGATCCCACCATCAGTCGGAGCCCTCTTCGCGGCAACGTTAAGTCGGAAGCTGCCTAGGAGGTTCTCAGAAGGGCCCAACTTGCCTGGTTGGACAATCCACACAAAGCTTCGTTTTTGTCTCCGGTTTCCCCCCTCCCAGATGTTCCTGATACTTCCACCAGGTTCGCCGGTTGCCCTCTTGGCAATTCCTCTTTCCCTGGAGAAAGAAGTTCCACTTGATTGCTCTGGTTGCTCACTAAGGTCATAGGGGCTAAATACTTGCACTTAGACTAAATGTGGTTTCAAAGTTCCCGCCGAACCCATTCTGATGATTTAGGCCCTTGTAGCCACCAATCCAAGAAGTTGGTTTCCCCGTTTTCGCCCCACCCCACCCCGCCCCCACCCCCAGCCCACCCCACCCCACGCCACCCCACCCCACCTCACTCCTCAAGAGCTAGCCACGCGCTGCGAAAAACTTCCGACCCAGGGGACTCTTCGGGCGCTGCCTCCGCGCTGTCCTTGCTACTGCGCCTCCGAGATGAGGAGCAACCGGGCGGGGCGGGCGCGGCGCAACGGCGCCACTGCGAGCCGTGGCCTGTTGCGTCTGGCATCCCCCAGCAATTGGTGCCCTTTTACCTGCGGGGTTCCCCTACTAAAGTAGACTATGGACAGAAAAAAGAAAAACAACATCGGGTACCAACTTATTCTAACCTCTCAAATCTGGAGGACCAATCGGGTTGGCTGCATTGAGAGTTCGGGGACACTTGGGGTGTTCACTTGGCCTTCGAGGGTACCCCGTTCTTGTGGTTGAGAAAGGGAAAACCACAAGGAAAACCGCCATTCTGCGAAAGCCCCCTAAAAAACAGACACACCTCCATCCACCTACAAACACACATTCACACACACACACACATAGATACACACACACATACACGCCTCTATCTGAGCCAATTTCTATTGGACGCCTTGGAATTTGTCATCCAGTCTGGAGGCCGCCGCGCCCAAAGCTGCCGGCTTCTTCGCCTTTAGCCCCTGGCTGAACCTGGCCTGCGACTCCCCCACGTGACCCGATCCGCAGAAGAGGGGAGTCTGGGGGGTGGGCGGGGAGGTGGTTTGGGTGGCTTTGTGGCTTTTCCCGGTTGCCCAGTGGATTCCGCCCTTTTTTCCTCTCAATTTTTGGGGAAGGGGTCCCTTAAAGTCAACCAACGAAAAAAGGGTGCCCTTTTTTTCCCATGGCTGCTGGAGAGAGCTGGGTGGTTTTGGCTTTGGCTGTTTCCCCAGCCCAGCCAGGTGCCCGTTTTCCTTTTTGGGGGAGTTCCCCTGAACAGCCTCAACCAACCAAGAAAGGATGCCGCTACCGGCCATGTGAGTTTCAGACAGCTGGGTGGGTGGGTGGTTTTGGCATTTTTAGTGGTTTTGGTTGAGCCAAGTTCAGGTTTGGAGCTTGTTTAGGCACTCCTTATTTTCACGGGCCTTCTTTAGATTCAAGTGTGCCGCTGAGGGAACAGTACATCAACAGTGCAGCTTTTTCACCCTGCACCAAGGCAACTTCCAAATTCAGGGTACCAACCTAGTTGGTTTGGATTGGTGGTTTTGGATTTGAACCTCTGGTTCTTGACGGGAAATGGGAACCCCCTCCAACAAAAAAAACTCCAAACCACGAAACCAAACCACCAAGTAGAGGGAAGCTGAAACTTTATGGTTGAGCATCAGCCGCAACTTTCTCCAGGTACTATAGCAACGCCTTTTCGCTGGTGGACGACATCAGCGGCAAGGCCAGCGCGTTTTTTGTTTGTTCTTCGCGATTTGTACAAAGACCAGACGCCCACATTCGCATCAAGGCCGAGGTTTGGAGAAGGGCGCGAATCTCTTTTCGGGGATCAGACTTCAGCTTCAGGGTCGGTTCAACGGATTTTCCAACTCAGATGGTGCTTTGCTTGGTTGGCGTTGATTTGGTTTTTTGTTTTTTAGTGGTCCAGGGACCATGTTTGGAAGCACTATTGAGCCTCTTTTGGAGTTTACCTTTCGGTGAGGATCTCCCCACATTTTCTTAAAATGGATTTCGGACGCGTCTAAAGGGAAGCCAAAAGGAAAGCCTTGCCAATTTTAGAGGACTGATGTCGGTCGATCTTGGTGGCACCTGCAAGTGGAAGATCGAATTAAAGTGTGTTTTGGCTTTCGTTCATGCACTCTCACTTGCCCAAAGTCGATCTGGTAACCTTTTGGTTTCCCTGATTTGGCTCATATTTAGTCAATATTCCAAAGGATTAGCTTTTTGTTTGTTTGTTTCGAGGTTCTTTGAGCAAGTGAGGACTGTTTCGAGTCCCTTAAACTGAACATGTTCAAGTGTTCTCAAAGTTACTGTTGGGGGTTGCCTTCAAACCACCAAGATGGCATTGAGGATGGCATTATATATTCTGGACCCACTTGAAGACACTACAAGAAGACACACCAGTTTACTAAACGGTCAAACACCTGGCCTTGAAAAATAACCTTGGTTGAACTGAATGGACAAGATGGAATCAGCCAGCAGGTGTGTGGATGAAGCCCGAAACCACCCCTTTGTGGAGAATGATTGATTTTCTTCTTCCAACGCCGCTTCTCCATCAACCCCAAGTTGTTCGATCGGCTTTGAGGAGATTGCAAATATGTTTTCCGGCAATCACCTCACCCAAACACCAAAAGCTTTCCCCAAGATCATCCCAATCACCAATTCCCTGGGATGTAACCTTTATGGGTGTGTCTTTTTTGGGGGACCCCTCCAAAATGGTGGTTTTCCTTGTGGTTTCCCTTTACACCCCCCAAAAACGGGCACCCCTCAACTCAAACATGGTGGTTTTCCTTGTGGTTTCCTTGTGGTTTCCCTTTAACCCCCCGGCAAAAAAGCGGGCACTCAAACAGTTTCCCTTTAACCCACCCCCCCAAACAAAAAAACAAAAGGAACAGAAAAATAGAACAGTTTCCTGGTGGTTTCCCTTTAACCCCCCCCCCAAAAAAAAAAAAAAAAACACGGGCACCCCTCAAACCAAACGCAGCTCCAACCCCTCCCTTTCGTTCGACCATCGGAGGTGATCGTGGGGGACATCCTCTTCCGTGGCGCGCCCGCGAATGTCTCTGGGTCGCCCAGAAGCCAAGCGGACGGAGAGATCGCCGATGGCTGGCGGAAGGTCTCCCGAACCTCTCAACGTGAAAACCCCAAATCCAAATCCCTCCGAATACTATGGATGGTCGCAAAATAATGAGTCCCAACGCAAATACCAACCAACAATGGTTTGAAGCATGGTTTCCAAGTGGCAGGATGTCGCACAGTGTGTGAAGATTGCCAGGCTTAGCTCGCAAGATTGACTGTTTGAGTTTCTGTTTTTTCCATCATTTTCCCTTTCAGCCAGAAACAAGCACACTTTTCGGGACGCAGGGGCGCGACTTCAGGAGTGAGGATTGATAGGTGCATGGCTGAGAAGGCAAGTGTATAATTACTTGATGGTGATTCAAGCCATTGTAATTTCGGTTCAAGACTTGCGATGTTCCCATTTTGGTTCCAGGGGTTCATCTGACCATGTCTTCAGCATTGCAGTGCTGAAGCTTCATAGCCTCGGTGAATGTCAAGCAGCTGATGGATCTCTAGAAAACGGTTTGGATGCGCTGTTTTTGGATTTCACCTGTTCTTGCCCCAGTATTTGCTTTTTAGTGCTTTTTTAGTACTCTTTTAATATCCTACAGAGTTGGATCCGCAAGAAACGCATCCAATTCGGTCCCTAGAGGAACAGGCGAACATGCCTCACGCAAGCATCAACTTGGTCCATGCTAGACATGGGTGCCGCGGTGCGGAGGACTGGAAATGAGGGGCTTGTCACTCTTGGATTTCATGCCGAAGGTCTTTGGCAATAAAAGCTGCTGATCTATGGTGGTACACGCTGGTGAAAGACCTGGTCAAGTGCTGATGTCCCCAACTTGCAAGCCTGGAAGCAAGAGATGGCGTGCCTTTCACAACTGCTCAACTCCTTCAAATCCACCAAAGCCTTCGCAGCCTTGATGTATTTTTTGCACAAATAACTCATATCGAAGGCGATAGATAACCGCCCCATATCGTTTCAACCCCACAACCCTCCATGTTTGTTGAACAAAAACACTCCAAATCCTGCAAAAAAATGAACAGCCCTTCCATCCCCAGAGCCCCTCCCTTGCTTCGACCGAGGCTTCGGCAGCTGGCCATGAAGTACTTTCAGGGGGACCAGACAAGGCGAGGAAGAGGTTGGATCGTTCAAAGGGTGTCTTCCATTCCCACTTGCCCAGTGGATTCCGCCCGTTGTTCCTCGCTTTTTTGGGGGAAGGGTTCCCCTTTAAACTCAACCAACCGAAAAAGGATGCCATTTTTTCCCGATGCCCACTGGGCATCTGAGCATTTCAAATTTGGTTTTGAAGGGAAATCATCACTGCTGGACATATGTTTTTGTCCGGGGGACTTGAGCAAATGGAGGGAGGGTGTGCGAAGGTTGAACCAAACGCCTTTGTTCCACATGGGTCTGATACGTGTGTCTGGTTTGGAGGCTAATTACCCTTTTCAGGAGTGAAAGGACAATTAGAAGGGAAACCCATCTTTGGGGGGTTTATTGACACCTTTCCACCTTTCCAGATATCCGGGCAGCTTTTTTTGACTGCACTGTTGGCCATGTGTTAGTGTGTTAGCTTGTTGGTTCTGCTCATTTTTAGTAGGGGGAAGTTCTGCAAACCGCAAGTTCTTTTGCTCCTATGCCAAGGGCTCGGAAGCCCGTTTTGTGCCGTGCCGTCTTGTTTGAAGATGTGCCTATGAGCAACCGTCAATGCTTCATCTACAGTAGCTAATGGGGATGACATGGAGGACACTCAAGAAATGTTGACTCGCCAGAATTCCATGCGAGTGTACCTGATTTCATACTTCAGGAAACTTAATATTCAGTCAACCCCAAATATTTCTCCTACCCATCGTTTGTTGTTGAAAGGTCAACTCAAAGTGAGCGTCTTTGCGCCAGGGCATGGATTTTCCTAAGCCCCGCAGACAGTTTTGATCGAAATCTCATGGAGATCTCCAGTGGACTATGTCCTGTTTGGTTAGACTGGATAGAAAGAGCAGCTTGTTTAGGCGGGACATCGAATGAATGCGTAGATCTGCAGAGGCGACTGGTCTTTTGCCCGCATCGCTCAAGAAAGGCAGAACTCAACAAACGGGCAACGGCTTTCTTCCATTTGTTGTTTTTCCCTTTCTGGCTTGAAAAGGAATGTATCACTACTGGACATATTTATTTTGATTTGTTCAGGGCTGAAGCAAATGGAAGTGTTCCTTTGTTTGGCTTCCTCAGTTCAGGCAGCCCACGGAAAATATTTAAAAACAAGAAAACCAAAACTATCCATGCTCGGAAAGCTTCAGCCATTGCCCAGACGGCGGGTTTTCTCGTAGGCTGAGGGATCCTTCCTTCTCGCCCTTTCATGCCGACGAGGTCGTTCCGGCGAAGTGTGGGGGGGGGGGGGGGGCGGGCGGGCTTTTGGGATTTTCGGGGCACCCGTGGGTTTTTTTCCAGTGAACTTGACGGCAAACCTTAAATGGTGGTATAGACATGCATATATATGTTTCTCGACATTTCGTGACACATATATGTCAGTTTGAACATAGTTCACCCCATGATGCAGACGTCTTTCAATCACTATTCACCCAGATGGTTGTGGAAGCTTGGGTTTTAAGTTGCCACGACTGACGTAGGAATCCCCTTTTCGGTGACAAAGTACGTCATCGTTGGATGCTCAAATCAAATGCCGCAAAGGGACCGGCCATCCAATTAGGTTCGTGGCCTTGGACTCCACAATTTCCACCAGAAAGACCGAGTTTGCCATGCCCATTCTCGGATAAGTCTGTCTTGTGCGAGACTATAGACAAGAAGGTTTGTTAGACTTTTGGAGTTGTCTCTGACTGGTGTCCTTGGGCGAAATGGATGTATATCACTGGCAAATGCCACCACTGACCCCACCTACGCCTTGGTGACCCCGGAAATTACCTGGCTTTCAGCTGTCATTCAAAAGCCAAGCTGTCAGGGCTATCTGTTTTCAACCGAACCAACCAACAAGCACACTCCTCTGATGCCATGGCTTTCGGTTTTCTGCCAAGGGCTCCCGATTAAAATCGGATGCGAGGTGCACCTGGACAGCCTGCCGCCACTGTACCTGGCGGTCTCAGGCACTGAGGTTCTGGGAGGAGTCGTTGCTTCGCGAGTCGAGCGGGGGCGAGACTACCCTTGGCGGCGTTTAGAGTTTCTCACTTCCCGAGTTCCTGGACTCTAAACACTTTTGCGGGTTTGGACCATTTGAGTGGTGAGCAGAAGGTTGTTTCTTGTTGGCCCTTCAACTCAGAATGTGAGGTTTAGAGGGATTTGTGGCATTTCCCACTCATTTGCTCGTCTCCGATACTACCAACACCTGCCTTTTTCCGTGTCCAAACTCCCAACTGTCCAACAAGGAGGGGGGGAGTGCTGCTTCCAGCATTTGGATTAAGCTGCGTTGAAGGTTATTGTTTGGATTGACTAAAGTTTGTCGCTCGTTGTTGGGTTGCTTGTTTTCTTTTTTTGCTTCGGGGCGTTTGTCGCCTTTTGGCAGTTTTCAGAAGACGGTTCATGTGTAGAGTCTAGAGGGGGTCCACATCGAGTAAAGGGAAGACATTGGGGAGCACCCCAAGTTTCCAGTGTCGCATTTTGACAGTCTCTCATTAGGTCTGGGGACATCGGAAGATGGTCAAAGCAGACGTTGGAGCGAGGCCGAAACTGGGGGCGAACACGATATTCGAAGCTTGTACATTTAATATGGTCTCACACACACATGATCCACATTTATGTTGCCTCCGTTCAACATGCTAAAATAGCTCCTGTTGTTTGAGGTCTGTTGCTTGGAATACGCCGTCCTGGTGAGGAGATGGGATCATCTTCGCCCAAAGGGCGGCCTGGCGGGGCGTCCGGGCTGCAGCCTCGGCTTGATGGCAAGTGATATCCCGGGCGGCTTGAAAGGGGTCTGACTTTTGGTTGGAAGCCCTTTGGTGGACATCATTTGCATGGGATGTTTTGTCCACCAACCTATTGTTAGTGTGTTTCCCTCTTGAAATTGTAGCCACATGCACTACTCATGGCACCTTTTTTGGGTGGCCTTTTTCTGGAAACTGAGTGTTGGGGGCTTGGGGGGGGGGCCTATTGTTGAGCCACAGCCACACTCTGGAAGGCCGACATCCACTTTGCGCCGAGTGATAGGGTTTTATCCCAGTATGAGTAGGGCTCATCCATCCATTCAACTGGTTCAGGAGGTTGAACATTCACAGTTGGCCCTTGCTTCTCCAAAGCCAAGCAAAAGCTCAGGGCTTTCGAGGAGTCCGTATATGTCTCTTGGGTGATTGACACATCGCCGGAGGTCGCAGGTCTATACAACATCTTTCTGGTGGGGTGGGACGTCTCGGGGACCCTGAAGACTCCCAGTGGTTCGTTCTGTTTGGCGGGTCCGAGGGTCTTTTCAGGGCAACTGACGACAACCTCAGAACGGTGCGGATTCACCTGCAGGAGGGTATGATACTGGGGAAAAGGCGCGTCACGCTCTTCAATTTGACTGCCGGTATTAGCAAGCAAGCGTTGTGGGAATCCATCAGACATCCCCCGAAAGCAAGATGCTCGAAGCGCACATGCTCAGGTTTTTCAGAGGCAAACCGCAGTGACACTTGCTTTGGACAACGATGGCTCTTCCTTGAAGAGAGGGTGTTCTCTGGCGCACCCGCCCCAACATTGTAGCTCGCATCCCCAAGGCTAAGCAAAAATACAATTCACATTGGGTCATTTTTTGTCTACCCTCCAAACTGTTTTTTGATATGTAATTTGTCTTTGTTGAAGCCCCAACTTTTTTTGGAACCCTCTCCATGCGGATTTGATGTTGGAAGACGACAGACGGAAGGCAACCACCACGCCTTTTTTTCCGCCCCCCCTCCCTTCTGTTGTCCCCACATGGTCCTGTTGAAGTCCCGAAGATACATTTTGGATTGTCCCGAAGGTTCCTTTTGTTGATCGCTCTACTATGGAACAGAAGGAACCTAACAAGGGGCTCCCCCAAGAGGGGACTTCCCTAAACATGTTGCTTCTTTTGGAGGTGTCCATGTTGATCTGGAGTGCAAGGGTGATCCAAGGGAGGAGGCATCAGCCAGGTGGCAGACTTCAGGGCGGAATTGCCAGTTAGTCCTATTTGCTGTTCAGCCACCCAGATAGAATGAGGCTGCGGGATACTATAATGCCACATTTAGTCAAGCAGCCTTACAACATGTGACCTCTTGTAGTACCCCTTATGAGTTATCCTTATTCAATCCTTATGTCCTAGTGAATAATTTGTCGAGCCCTTAAAATTCTGAGTCCCTCACCCCAGCCGTAGGGAGCTGAAAAGAACAATATCTCTGGAAACCATTGGCAGGTTACCCCTTCCAGTTTACTTTTGGGAGGGAGTCGCTCAATCTTGGGGGCATTCTGAAGGGTACGGGTGTGTCTTTTTGTTTTAGGGTACCCTTTTTAAGGTTGGTTTACAGGCAAAAGGAACACCAAGGACCTTCTGGGGCGTCCCCGGAAGAAAAAGACACGGGGCTCCCTTCAAAAGGATCCGAAATGAATCGCGCGCCTTGGAGTCAACGAGCTGCCGCCTGGGCCATAAAGCATGTTGCAAGTGAACCAACCTAGTGAATCCGTTTACCTGGTTTGTAGGTATCGACCAGCGGATTTCCAGGAGGCAAGACGGATGCCTTTATTGTTCATTGGATCCATGGCAAGGCCCTTGGCCTGCATATTTGTTCTTTCAATCCTCGCCTTGATTTCTGGGACTCCTTTTTCGGGGGTTCGGCGTCAAGGCAAGCCAACCGGAAGAAAAAAGCAAACACAAAAACAACCTTTGGATGCGGCCGAGGTGTACTTGGACATTTTTCCCGGCATGTGGCATGGCTTCCACCAGTACATCGAAGGCGCAAAGGGCCGACCCAGCTCGCGTGTCTGGCGTACGTAGGTAATTAGTAGCGGCGGGGAGAGGTTTTTGGTCAGGGAGAGGTTGTGACTCGGTACCCTTGGTTGATTTAAAGATAAATCTCAAGGAAACAACCTCTTTTTTTTTGGGGGGGGGGGGGGTCCATCGTTTTATGATGCAGCCATAGGCTGTTCCTTTCTCCTGTAAGTTTTTTTTGGCAAGTCTGTTTTTTTCTACAAAGCATGTGTTTTGTTGGCAGGGGGCAAAAGCCACCAGGTACCCCGAACGTTTCATTCCCTAAATGGAGAGGGCCGCGGACGTCATTTTGGAAAGCAGGGAAGAAGTCCGCTATCCCATTGATCATAGTTGGTGGTTCGTTTTTGTGATATTTCGGCAATCAGCTAGTTGGGTTTGCCTCAAAGCAGGGCAACTCTCCAAGCAGGTAGTTCCAATGGAGGTCAATCTGAACTTTCGGGGCAAGTGATTGATCCTTCCATTTCCCTCTTAGGGTGGGTTGGTTGTGTCGGGCTTGTAATTACACCAGGCTTGCTCGGGGCTATGGCCGAATTCGTAGGGCCAAACAAAAAGCGAATGCACAGTTATCGTTGGGAAACATTTTACATTTTTGCTTATTGTGGTTTAGTGGGAAATCCGCACTTAACTGCTAAAATTTAAATTTGTGCTGCCCTTCCAACGTCAACCAAGAATGGTTTCCTTTGGTTTGCTCTCAAATGTGGACTGAGCATGTCGTAGGGGAAATTCTGAAAAGCGAGAGACTGTCACGGCATGTCACGGCTCCGATTGGAGGGGTCTGTCTCATGTGTCAGGCTTGCTCTTTTGGCCATATCGGGTTTCTTCAGCGTTCCTTTGGCTTGCCATTTTGGAAACGTGCTCTAGTGATTGGCTTCCGTTTTTTTCGCTTTCCAACCAGCCAAAAGAGTGCTTCCCGTTTTGAGACGAGCCCACTCGTGGTTATTTCACTGCGGACAGTATTGCCCCTCATCAAATTGGATGGAATTTTAGTGGCTCCGGCTCAGGCCGCCGACATTACAGGCCTGCTTTCTTATTTGCGTCCCTTTGGAATTGTCCCCTTGCCCCCTTCCCCTCTTAGATTTTTGCCCCCCCTTTCTTTGTTGAGATCCATTCCCCCTTTCCGCCCTAAGGCCTTTTCTCCCTCTGATGTTTCCCTTTTCCTCCCTAAGATGTTTTCCCCCCTCTCCCTGTTGAGGATCTTTCCCCCCCTTTCCCTGTTGAGATCCTTTCCCCCTTTCCCCCCTACGGCCTTTCCCCCCGCTGAGATCTTCTCCCTATTCCTCCTTAAGATCCTTTGCCCCCTTTCCCTGTTGAGATCCTTTCCCCCCTTCCCTTTAAGGCCTCTCCAGATCTTCTCCCTTTTCCTTCCTACGATTGTTTCCCGCCTTTCCCTGTTGAGATCCTTCCCACCCTTTCCCCCCTCAGGCCTTTCCCCCCCCTGAGAGCTTCTCCCTTTTCCTTTCCTTCCTTAGATCTTTCCCCCCTTTCCCTGTTGGCCTTTTTCTCTCAGATCTTCTCCCTTCCTCCCTAAGATCTTTTCCACCCCTTTCCCTGTTGAGATCATTTCTCCCCTTTCCCCTCTACGGCCTTTGCCCCCAGATCTTCTCCCTTTCCTCCCTAAGATCTTTCCCCCCCTTTCCCTGCTCAGATCCTTTCCACCCTTTCCCCCCTAAGGCCTTTCCCCCCCTGAGATCTTCTCCCTTTTCCTCCCGAAGATCTTTTGCCACCTTTCCCTGTTGAGATCCATTCCCCCTTTCCCCCCTAAGGCCCTTTCTCCCTCTGAGTTTTTCCCTTTTCCTACCTACGATGTTTTCCCCCCTCTCCCTGTTGAGAATCTTTCTCGGGGGGAACAGGCCCTAGGGGCAATGGGGGGACAGGATCTCAAACGGGAAAGGTGGAAAAAGACTTTGGGAAGAGAAGGGTGGAGATCTTGGGGGGAAAAGGCCTTAGGGGGGAAACGGGGGAAAGGATCTTAAGCGGGAAAGGGGGGAAAAGATCTTAGGGAGGCAAAGGGAGACAAACTCAGGGAAAAGGACTTAGGGAGGAAAGGGGGGGAAAGATCTTTGGGAGGAAAAGGGAGAAGAACTGAGGGTGGGAAAAGGCCTTAGAAGGAAAAGGGGGGAAATAAATGATCTCAACAGGGAACTGGGGGGGGGGGAAAGATCTTAGGGAGGAAAGGCAGAAGATCTGGGGCAAAAAGGCCTTAGGGGGGAAAGGGGAGAAATGATCTCAACAGGGAAAGGGGTGGAAAAGATCTTAGGGAGGAAAGGGAGAAGATCTGGGGAAAAAAGGCCAACATGGAAAGGGGGGAAAAGATCTTCAGGGGGGGAAAGGCCTTGGGAGGGAAAGGGGGGAAAGGATCTCAACAGGGAAAGGGTGGGAAAGATCTTAGGGAGGAAAGGGGGGGGAAGATCTTAGGGAGGAAAGGGAGAAGATCTGGGAGAAAAGGACTTAGGGGGGAAAGCCCAACAGGGAAAGGGGGGAAAAGATTTAGGAAGGAAAAGGGAGAAGCTCTCAGGGGGGGGAAAGGCCTTAGGGGGGAAAGGGGGACAAGGATCTCAGCAGGGAAAGGGGGGGGGGGAAGATCTTAGGGAGGAAAGGGAGAAGATCTGGGGACAAAGGCCTTAGGGGGGAAAGGGGAGAAATGATCTCAACAGGGAAAGGGGTGGAAAAGATCTTAGGGAGGAATGGGAGAAGATCTGGGGGAAAAAAGGCCAACAGGGAAAGGGGGGAAAGATCTAAGGAAGGAAAAGGGAGAAGCTCTCAGGGGGGGGAAAGGCCTGAGGGGGGAAAGGGTGGGAAGGATCTCAACAAAAAAGGGGGGAAACAATCTTAGGAAGGAAAAGGGAGAAGATCTGGAAAGGCCTTACAGGGAAGGGGGGAAAGGATCTCAACAGGGAAAGGGGGCAAAGGATCTTAAGGAGGAATAGGAAGAAGATCTCAGCGGGGGGAAAGGCCGTACGGGGGAAAGGGGGGAAAGGATCTCAACGTCCTCCCAAAGATCTTCCCCCCCCTTTCCTCCCTAAGTCCTTTTCCCTGAGTTTGTCTCCCTTTGCCTCCCTAAGATCTTTTCCCCCCTTTCCCGCTTAAGATCCTTTCCCCCGTTTCCCCCCTAAGGCCTTTTCCCCCCAAGATCTCCACCCTTCTCTTCCCAAAGTCTTTTTCCACCTTTCCCGTTTGAGATCCTGTCCCCCCATTGCCCCTTAGGGCCTGTTCCCCCCGAGAAAGATTCTCAACAGGGAGAGGGGGGAAAACATCGTAGGTAGGAAAAGGGAAAAACTCAGAGGGAGAAAGGGCCTTAGGGGGGAAAGGGGGAATGGATCTCAACAGGGAAAGGTGGCAAAAGATCTTCGGGAGGAAAAGGGAGAAGATCTCAGGGGGGGAAAGGCCTTAGGGGGGAAAGGGGGGAAAGGATCTTAAGCGGGAAAGGGGGGAAAAGATCTTAGGGAGGAAAGGGAGACAAACTCAGGGAAAAGGACTTAGGGAGGAAAGGGGGGGAAAGATCTTTGGGAGGAAAAGGGAGAAGAACTGAGGGTGGGAAAAGGCCTTAGAAGGAAAAGGGGGGAAATAAATGATCTCAACAGGGAACTGGGGGGGGGGGGGAAGATCTTAGGGAGGAAAGGCAGAAGATCTGGGGCAAAAAGGCCTTAGGGGGGAAAGGGGAGAAATGATCTCAACAGGGAAAGGGGTGGAAAAGATCTTAGGGAGGAAAGGGAGAAGATCTGGGGAAAAAAGGCCAACATGGAAAGGGGGGAAAAGATCTTCAGGGGGGGAAAGGCCTTGGGAGGGAAAGGGGGGAAAGGATCTCAACAGGGAAAGGGTGGGAAAGATCTTAGGGAGGAAAGGGGGGGGAAGATCTTAGGGAGGAAAGGGAGAAGATCTGGGAGAAAAGGACTTAGGGGGGAAAGCCCAACAGGGAAAGGGGGGAAAAGATCTTAGGAAGGAAAAGGGAGAAGCTCTCAGGGGGGGGAAAGGCCTTAGGGGGGAAAGGGGGAAAAGGATCTCAGCAGGGAAAGGGGGGGGGGGAAGATCTTAGGGAGGAAAGGGAGAAGATCTGGGGACAAAGGCCTTAGGGGGGAAAGGGAGAAATGATCTCAACAGGGAAAGGGGTGGAAAAGATCTTAGGGAGGAAAGGGAGAAGATCTGGGGGAAAAAAGGCCAACAGGGAAAGGGGGGAAAGATCTAAGGAAGGAAAAGGGAGAAGCTCTCAGGGGGGGAAAGGCCTGAGGGGGGAAAGGGTGGGAAGGATCTCAACAAAAAAGGGGGGAAACAATCTTAGGAAGGAAAAGGGAGAAGATCTGGAAAGGCCTTACAGGGAAGGGGGGAAAGGATCTCAACAGGGAAAGGGGGCAAAGGATCTTAAGGAGGAATAGGAAGAAGATCTCAGCGGGGGGAAAGGCCGTAGGGGGGAAAGGGGGGAAAGGATCTCAACAGGGAAAGGGGGGGAAAGATCTCAGTGAGGAAAGGGAGAAGGTCCCAGGCAGGGAAAAGGCCTTAGGGGGGAAAGGGGGAAAGGATCTCAACAGGGAAAGGGGGCAAAGGATCTTAGGGAGGAAAAGGGAGAAGATCTGAAAAGGCCTTAGGGGGAAAAGGGGGAAAGGAGCTCAACAGGGAAAGGTGGGAGAAGATCCTAGGGAGGAAAAGGGAGAAGATCTCGGGGGGAAAGGGGGAAAGGATCTCAACCAAGGGAAAAGATCTTGGGGAGGACAAGGGAGAAGATCTCAGGGGGGGAAAGGCCTTAGGGGGGAAAGGGGGGAAAGGATCTCAACAGGGAAAGCAAGCAAAGGATCTTAGGGAGGAAAAGGGAGAAGACCTTGGGGGGGAAAACGCCTTAGGGGGGAAAGGGCGGGAAAGGATCTCAACAAGGAAAGGTGGGAAAAGATCTTAGGAAGGAAAAGGGGGAAGATCGCGGGGGGAAAAAAGGCCTTAGGGGGGAAAGGAGGGAAAGGATCTCAACAGGGAGAGGGG